GCATAATCTTAGCTCCGCTCACCTTAAGCTGCAGAAGGCACGGAAAAACAATCGCTTTAAATACTCCAAACACGGATGAAAGCCGCGGCTCACGTAGATCCTGACAAATATTGTCTTTCTCTTCTCAGGATGTGGTCTGAGGCCCCTCGACAGAAGCGCTCACAGCAGCGGCGTCAGTTTCCACAGCGACAGAGGACACGGCTCTTGGACGGAAAAGCCCGTAAACCGGGCCGCCGACCCCCATCGTGGCCTGCATCGCCCCCACCCCTCCGGCTTGGACGTGTACCAGAGAGAGAATATACCTGGACCCCACCTCCAGCCTCCTCATTGCTCGCCGTCCTCCTCCTCCTCCTCCTCACAGCAGCCCTCGGCCAAAGCCGCCGTTGACAAGGAGAAGAAGACGCTGAGAGATCTCGTCCCGCCTCTGTGCGCCTCCAGGCTGAAGCCCATCAGACAGAAAACCAAAAACACTGTTGTAAGTGCTTTCTGACATCATGGCGCCAGATTAGCTGAGTTGATTTATTGAGAGGAAGCGTGTCTTCTTCACAGGTGAGCATCTTGGATACGGGCGAGGTGTGCATGGAGCTCTTAAAGTGCCAAAATGGACAAGAGAGGGTCAAGGAAGTCCTTCGGATTTCCTCTGATGGTTCAATGGTGAGCGCTTAAGATCACACACAAAATTCTTCTGATGATCAAGGCAGTTTTCCCTGGCACAAACATTGCACGGCACAAAGGTAAATAAAAACGTCCCAAGAAGTGTAAATCACTCACTGGTGTCATGCGTTATTTCCTGCAGGTGACGATCTACCAGCCCAATGGTGGTAAAGGCTTTCCTGTGCTGGACCGCCCGCCTGCGCCCCCTGAAGATATCCTCATTTGCAGCTACGAGGATCTTCCAGGTGAGAAACCTACTCTCAGCGCACGTTAACCACCACCTCGCTGTGATTTGAAACTCAAATCCCATCCATTGTTTTGCGTCAGAAAAATACTGGAAGAAGTACCAGTATGCCTCCAAGTTTGTGCAGCTGGTCAAGTCCAAGACCCCCAAAGTGACCCTTTACACCAAGTATGCAAAGGTCATGTTGATGGAGAACTCCCCTAACGCTGACCTGGAGGTCTGCTTCTATGACGGTGAGGCACCAGCGCTCCACTCCGGCTCACTTAGACTGTCTGATGGCATTTTAATGCACCCTCATGTGCAACATTATTGTGTGTGATTGAGCATTCAGAATCGTATCTCACTAAATATTAAAAATAACACAAAAATGATTAAAATCAATATTTTTTTACATGACACGTTCGTTGATTTCTCCCTCCGCAAATGTGAGTCAGTATCATTTGACGTTAAATCCCCCTACGGACACGCATTGTCGAATGCGCATCACAGGGGCAAAGAGCCACAAGACGTCAGAGCTGTTGCGAGTCGTGGAGAAGAGCGGCAAGTCGTACACGGTGAAGGGCGAGGTGGGCCTGAGCGGCCTGAGCACCGAGAGCCGCATGTACGCCGAGCTGTCGGACGAGGGCCACCGCATGTGTCTGTCGCTGCAGGCCGCCATCGAGGTGGAGGAGCGAACCACACAGAAAGGGCCCTTCTTCCCCATCATCATTGGGAGGTAAACTTTGGAGACTAGCTCATGTCACGGACCGATGCGTGATCTATAATTTTATGAGTGCGTGTAGACGCATACGCAGAGATATATGCACGCGGATGCGCATATGCTCATACAAATATACACACGCATACATTTAATCATTTTTAGGAGGCCCGTCATCCCCGACTCTCCAATCTTGACATCGCCTCCCTCCCAGCCTGCGCCTCCTGATCATGTTTCGCCTTCTCGGCCTCCAAAAATCACTCCTCCGGTGAGTCTCCGGTAGCATTTCTATCCAAACGCGTTTTATCCTGAACAACCGTATCTCTAAAGATAAAACACTGTTTGAGTAGATGATCTCCTACGACGGCTCTGATTTCAACTCGCCCAGCCTGAGTAAAAAAAGCTCCCCCGCGTGTCAAGAAGACCTGCAGAACACCAGCAAAGTGGTCAAGTCCATTTTTGTGCCCAACGTGGGCTGGGCCTCGCAGGTAATTGACGCCCCGAGCCGTTAGAATGGACAATGCGTCAGAGCCGGTCATCCAGATGCTCCGTGTTGTCGCCTCAGCTGACGAGTGGCGAAGTGTGGGTGCAGTTCAACGATGGCTCTCAGCTGGTGGTCCAGGCCGGAGTTTCCTGGCTCTTGTACACCTCTCCCGAGGGATGCGTCACCAGGTGATAAACGGCATTTCTCTATTTCACCATCAACTAAAATAGTGAACCACCGCTCTTGGCGGAGATGATCAAACAGGCAGCATTGTAAAGCAAAAACACCATCCATCTAGCATGTACACAATCATAAACCCATGTCACCTAAATATATGAATGTATTTTTTTTTAATCAATTTATCTCATATCATTTTTATAGTTGATTTAGTCTAAGTTAAAAAAGAACACCATCACAATAAGTAATTGGTTATTTTGAATTAAATTCATTATACGAATAACTTCTTATAACGTTATTTTACGTAAATGTTTTAATATCTCGATGAAACAAAACCAAATGTGGCGTGCTATAATGTCACAAGCTTGCACGTCGGTTTGAATTCGAAACAGTACCACTTTTGGGGCATCCCACTTTGGAGGTCCCACTGCACAGTACCTCTGTGACAGTGTCTCTCAAACTGAGCATTATTGATTACCTCTGCCAAGGAGGTTGTTTCTTTCCCATTTTAGTAGGGTAGAAACTTCACAACTGGTTTCTATACAAACATTTGAGAGGTGGGCCAAGGACTCATGTTATATAACTGACATAAACTAACATGAACTTTAATTGAGATGCACGTGTACTTAGACTGCAGTATGTGCTAAATACACAAGAACAAAGTAAAACTACTTAAACGCAGGTGTGTGTTGATTCTAGGTACAAGGAGAACGATAAACTTCCTGAGCATGTCAAGGAGAAGCTGCACTGCCTCTCCACCATCCTCGGCCTGTTGGCCAAACCGGCAGCTCGTCATCCACAAGCACATTAGCGTTTACTTCTTCACCTCCTTGTAAATATCTATGTGTTTATGTATGTTAGATGGCTTTCTTCTTCCCCCTTTTTTTTATTTTTACATGTACAGAGGAATATGCAAAATATTTAATTTTTATGAAGTGATTCTTTTGTAAAGCAGCGTTGTGTTGCAGCTGTCTACGAGCAGTACAATGAAATGTGGCATTCATCAAAGGGGGGGGGGGCAATAAATGTCTGTAGGCTTGTTTTGCGATTGCCGCCCATCGCTTTGCACCGCTTAGCTGGACATTTCGAAATTATGTTAAGATTCAAACACTAATATTGACACCATTCCGAACGACTCAAACACAAACACAAGATAAATTTCCACTCGTTTATTTCATCTGTGAGTCGGCTGATTTAAAAAAAAAAAAGTTTGTGGATTCCTTTTCATGACAATGCATACCAAACAACGCACTGTAAGGAAGCAAGCTTAGGCGTATATACACGTACTGTACACGACACCCAAGGAGTAAACATTTTCAAGGTGGAAAGCAGAATTGCTGATCAGAATGACACTGGGGGACACGTGACCAAAGGTAAAATTCACCTTTTTTTTTTTTGGGTGATGTACAAGTGTGACAGAAAACAAAACGTATGCTTCCTCTAAGCCTGCCTCCCTACACCTTTAAATGAAGGTCAAGTGATTTAAGTGGAAAAGTGTCCTGAATGCTGGTGAGATGTGAGTTTACGAGAGAGGTGGGCGCCCTTTTCCCTATCAAGGATCATCCAAAGGATCATATGAAATCCATCCATTTTCTATACCGCTTATCCCTTATTCTCAGCTGCAGACTTGACCTCGGGCCAATGCTAATCTACAGGATGAGGAAGTGCTGAGATGTCAGGAGACAGACTTAGAGGAAGGCATATCAGGATTTCGGCCACTTTGCACACATCTCTCCCTTTTAACGCCACAATTTTGTCTTTTTTTTTTCTGTCCCTCAGGTAAATACATTTGTTCACATGCTGCCTTTCATAGAAAACATTTCCTCATAAAATTTCATTGAATACATGTCAGAAGAAAAAAAAATACAATCAAATTGGAGTAAAAAAAAAAAGGTCATGTTCCACACTTCCTCCTCAAACCACAGCATTACATCTGACTGGATGGTTTCCCATTTAGCTGCGTGTATGAAGAATCGTGTGTGGGAGGGAGTCCAATCAAGGAAATTGCCCCATTAACCAATGTTAGTTATGTGATAATCTCTTTTAAAGTGTTGACGGCACATTTGATCTAAAACAATCAGCGGAATAAATTATGCTCGGAAGGCAGTGAGCATTCAAGGAAACAAACAAAAAACAAAAAAAAGAACTGATGCTATGAAGTGCTGTAAGGAATCTCACAATGGAATCCTGCAGGTGAAGTTCATTTTGTGGAAAACAAGCAAACAAAAGAAGAAAAAAAATGAAACGGAATGTCTTCCTGCGCTCACTTGGTCATGTGGAGATTTCCTTCTCAGCTTTTCAAATCAAGTCTAAAATGTGATGGCACTAGGAAAGTCAACAGCTTATCTCTTGGTTCAAACGCACGCTCCCTCCCCTCACAGAGGAGTCAGTGGTGTTGAACACACACACACACACACACACACACACACACACACACACACACACACACACACACACACACACGGGATCATTGCACATCTAGTGGCACATCTTTCCCCCAGTCTGAAAATGCCGAGTCGGGCGTCACTGCAGCAAATACAAATGACTTCCCAAAAGGTTCAAATTACAGTACTGTTAAAAGTCTCATTGGACAAAAACAACATTACAAAAAATAAAGGCGAGAGAGAGAGAGAGAGAGAGAGAGAGAGAGAGAGAGAGAGAGAGAGAGAGAGAGAGAGGAAAAAAGCTTAACACTCAATCACCATCATTTTGAAAGCACTACACGGGAAAAGAATGTGATTAGATACCTGTAAATTATCATTTCCATCATAATTATCATGATTTATTATTCATTGTTATTGTCACCGTTGTGATGTGTGTTTTTTTCCAGAGAGGGGTTGGGGGTGGGGGGGTAGGGCTCAGTCACTGGGAGGAGGCCTTGGTGGCTATAGAGGACACGCAGTGCTGCTGAAAGCTGGGCGACATGGGCGAGCTGCAGCCTAGCCGCTGGTGCCGCGCGCCCTTCAGTCCAGCGTCGCCCTCCACCATCCACGGGGGGGTGGCAGCGGCAGCGGTGTTCAGGCCTTTGGGCGATTCGCCGGCGGGGGGCACCTCGGATGTGCTGACGTGGCTCTGGAGCACGCTGCTGATGTGGTTGAGCAGGTCGCTGAAGAACTCGGGGACACCCTCGTAACCTGGTGACACGGGCGGAACATCAGTTGCAGGCATGGTGTGATTAAGGGAGAGACTGACATCAGTGATGAGGAGTGATCGTCCTGCCACAAATTGCAAAAATCCTCAACTTCAGGTTTATTATTGGCCACAAATGCCACAAGATGGTAGCAAAGCACTATTTCTCTCTAATTGAAGCTCCTCAACTCACCTCAATGTGTCCCTGTAACCAAAATGACACACTCTAAATGTAGTTTCAAAACACAATTTAGCATAGTTTCTTGGTCACAAGATGGTGGCATGATGCGACTTTTAAGAGAAATTAAGCCCCAACTCACTTTGACATAATTCCTTGGCACCAAGGTGGCGGTAAAACCACTTTTGCCTAAATGAAGCTCCCCAACTCACTTCAACACCGTTTCTTGTTGGCACCAAGATACCAGAGGATGGCTGCAAAGTGCTACTTTTGCCTAAATGAAGGTCCTCAACTCACTCCAACAGAGCACAAAGATGCCACAGGATGGGAGCAAAACACGACTTTTGCCTTAAGTCCTCAATCCATTTCAACATAATTTCTTGGCCCCAAGACACCACAAGATGAGGGCAAAGCCCTACTTTTTCCCAGATGAACCTCCTCAACTAAGGTCGACATATTTCCTTTGCACCAAGATACCAAAAAGTGACGTCGGCGGAAGTGGTTCAGGCACAGCCTTGCACGGGATTCTTCAAGCACACTGGTTATTGCTTGCTGGCTGGATTGTGACATCATCTCTGTGATTCCACAAACCCACTGTGTCGTTGAACTCCACGTGTGTATCACTGACATGGTGTTTGGTTTCATTTATCATGCAGAAGTTAACTTCTCTTTCAATGCCTGTACAGCCTGGAACTAATTAAATCACTCAATTTTAGTATCCCAGAATGGACTTTGAATGAGAAGTTGGGAAAAAAACCCTCTAACCGGGGAAGGCGTTGACGTCAATGACAGCATGCTGGCCCGTTTGGTTATTTATGATGACGTCGATGCCGAACAAGGTCACGCCCAGGGCCTGCCGCAAGGACCTGGACAGTTCCCGGATGACGTCGTCGCTGGGAGGCTGAGACACACCCTCTACATTCTCCCTCTAAAAGCACACGCAAGGACAAACGTCGCTTCAGTTTCATTCGCCCTGAGCACAGACCTCTGCCAAGGTTGACTTGTGGGATCACAAAGAACGAAATGCTTCAGACCCTTGGCAAAGGTAAGAAACGTGCTGGTAAAGTCACATAAGATCTGAGTCGTACTGAGGTCAAGTCTGAGGACGACTCCGGCTTGGAAACGTTGTGGCTGTTGAAAAAAATGGCTTTCCTGTCTGAAAACATAAGAAAGCAAATTGTAAGTTGGTGATACAGTATACACCGGTATTGTATTTATTCATTGTGAGCAGTAGGTGGCGATATATCCCAATCATTGAGGAAACCACTGACTTGTAAATGTCTCTATCCCTTTGTGTGTGCATGCTATGTGTTGCTCGGAGCCACACAAATTAGCGGAGGTCATACGTTTTTTAGGAAGCCAAATGTAAGGCGCTCGCATTGAATTCACACCTCAAATTCATTAAATATGACCACTAAAATAATGTCATTATTTCAGGATATTTTACAATGCTTGGCCATCATTCTTTTCATCGTCACTGATTTAACTGGCGTGTTGTAGGTTTTAAAGAGACGTGCTCACATTAAGGATAATTAGGGCAAAGTTTAATTTTAGATTTCGAGGATCTGGGGAGAGTGGAGTGAGCATGAGCAGGTCTTTTGTCACTCCTAAAGGACACCACTCTGTGGGTGCGAGCCAATTGTAATTGCAGGGCACATATGGACAAACAACTATTCAGATTCACACCGGTGGACAATTTCAGTCTTCAAAGAACCTGTCATGCACGTTTCTGTAACATGGGAGGAGCTTGAGTACCCAAAGAGGCCGCAGACAAAGCCATTAGTCCACCTTCTAGCTGCTGAAGTCTTCCATAGTGTTCCCATGATAGTGTGACAAGTTCTATTGGACCAGACAGAACATTCCAGGCTCAGTGCTCCAAAGTGTCCTCTCTGCACTGTGAGTTTTTTTTTGTTTTGGGGGGGGGGGGGTCCCAGAGGAAGGTGGTTGCGTAAATCTTGGCTGTTTCTAAATGTGCACCGTACCACTGGATAATTTACAACCATGTTGGACTATCTGAGTCAACTGGACAAAAGTCAAGAAGCCTTTAAAGGTCAACCTCAAGGGGCGATAAAGACATTTTTCAGCATATTTTAGCGGTCATTTTGAAGGGGAGGGGTGGGGGGGATCTTCCTGGTGATCTTACCCGCAGGTCCGGCGGGGAAATTCTTGAGGGAGGGCCTCTCCACCACCGTGTAGGAGTCCCCAACCACAAACACCTTGTAGAGCACTGCGTTGTGGTTGATGAAACTCTGGACGACGCAGGGGGGCTTCACGTCCTTCAGGTCATCCTCGCTGAAGATAATGGCCATCTTGGGGGGCAGGAGGTCACAATTTATTTTCTACAAATAACACATCTTGCTTTTTCTCTCTGCCAGCAACAATTGAATGGCCTTCCACAAGATGGTACCAATGACATACCGAATTTTCCGCACTAAAAGGCGCTTCGGAGTATATGGCGCAGCTTTAACGAATGGCCTATTTTAAAACTGCTTTCATATAAAGGCGCACTGCATTATAAGGCGCATAGACTAGAAGCTACAATAGTGGCTGCAGTTGCATTATGCATCAACGACATGGAGCTACGCTAAAGGGAATACAATACAATACAGCTTTATTTATGTGGAGCTTTTACAAACGCGGCAGTTGTAACAAAGCGCTTTACAGAACATTTAAAATACGATGTCCAAAAAAAATCGGAATATTGATCGATCTATAAGGCGCACCAGATTATAAGGCGCACTGTCGGCTTTTGAGAAGATTGAATGCTTTTAGGTGCGCCTTATAGTGCGGAAAATACGGTAATGAATCCTGTGTTTACATATAGATATTTTGTGGGGTGATATAAAATATGTGCCTTGGCTAAAAACAGTTCGGGAAACTGATTTAACAAGTGTAGTTGTGTGGAAAGGAGTGGTGATGAGAAGCATCGCTGCTTCCTCGGTGCAAACGGTCAGCACAGGGCCACTTACCTCGTGGGAGTTGGTTCCATGGGCCACTCGCGTTTTGCAAACTGAGGAGCGAATCAAAATAGGCAGATGAGTCAGATGGTGACAACGTCGTGTGATCAAAAGGTCTAATTACTGTATATCAAATTTATTTTCATAATCGGGGTCAATGTGCTTGCGAGACTTACTGAAGGGGAAGGTGAGTCCGTGATTCCTGATCTGCTCCAGCACATCCGGGCTGCACTCTGTGTTGAGCACCATGAATGGAGGAGAGCAAATCCTCTCATCTAGGAGCACGACAAAGAAAAGACCAAAAGGAGAGATTTGGGGACTTAAAAAGGGAAAAAAAATACTTTGAAGAATCCTAACTTAGTAAGACAATAAATGGCCACTGGGAAACCAAAGTTGGACTTAAGATAAAGTGGATCCAAGTAACTTGGCAGACATTCGATATCAGGGGTCCAAAGTTCAAATTTAAAGAGGTTCAGTTCAGGGAAATATCTTCAAATGATATCATGCATATATTATAATCCGGTCGAAATATTTTGCTTTTAATTTGCATGTTCACCCCGTGGCTTTTTGTCCAGGTACTCCGGCTTCCTCCTACATAGCAAAAATATACTTATTGTTCATTGAAGACTCTAAAGTAGCGCAAAGGTCAGCATTTGAATGTGAATGCCTTTTTTGTCCTTAAGTGTTTGGCTGGCGACCAGTCCAGGGTGTACTGTACTCCACTTCTTGCCCAGAGTCAGCTACGACAGGCTCACTAACTCGATACCCTAACGAGGAGAAGTGCTCATGAAAATAGGTGGATGGATATTTTGTGGTCACCCACTGACTGTCACGAAAAGAAAAAGTCGCACTGCTCCGGAGTACAGTGTTCCAACTCCAGTCATTGTTCAATTTCAAACTCTACTAGTAACAAAATAACAAACTACGTCCTACATTTAGAAAACTGACCAAAAGTAAAATACAATTATAGTGAAACTGCCCTTTGTTTTCATGTTAGTCATTTAATATATGTGAGCGTCCAGGGTTCTTTTTCAGTGGATTGCTTTACAACCATACAGAAGAAGGAAGGTCAAACATGTTTAGTACAAAAATACACAGTGACCTTTTTATTTATTTATATTTTAATTTTCTGACACTCGACAAATTCTCCATGTGTGTGTGTGTGTATATATATATATATATATATATATATATATATATGAGATGCTAAACTGAAACAAAAATGAACTAAAATGAAATATCCCAAACTATCATCATAACACACACAGGATGTCCCGAGACACAGGAAGCAACAGACAAGAAGAGTCACCAGTCACTAGACAGATAATTAAACTGACGTGTGATCAATGGCTCATTCGTCCTCAGCATCCACAAACGGGTAAATGACGCAAACGTCTGTACGTCTTTTTTTTTTTTTTTAATGCTCCATTCACTTGATTATGTTCAAGGTTATTCTTTTCCGGTGCAAGTGAAAAACAGCCCTGTCCTTGTTGTTGGAATAAAATCAGAGGTTTTTTTTTTTCCTTCAAATTTTGTGGCTCGATGAATTCCACCTTTGGAGAAACCAACGGATAAAGTATAATGCGGTGGAGCCCATACCTCCGCCAAGGCTTAACAATATCTAATACTGTACATTTAAAAGTCATCTCATTAACCAGTTAACACTTACCATTCAGTCATGGTTTGCAAGCAATGGATATTTGACTCCATGCGGTGGAGCAACACATTTAGACAGATAATGTTTATTATCCTTTGCTAAAAATGAGGAATATTCCAGCATCTCACTGAGTCACATACGACAGGAATGGTTAGAAGACGGCTATTGTTTTCCGTTTGTGCCTTCATGACTGTGCAGCATTATACCGGTTCCCGGTGGCCAGGGTGGGCACGTCAGGGGGACCAGCGTAATGAGCTGGATTGCAGCATTAAATCATGGTGCTATTAATTATGTCATGACGTGATTTGAAGTGCAATATTATAGAGTGCTTTTTAAAAAAACATTTTTGAGTGGGGGATGGAATCAACGAATGGCATTTCCGTTCCTGTTTTTTTCAGTTACAAGTGCAGTCTCGGTCCAAATTAAACTGATATGTTAAAGCAGTATTATCATATTATCTGCATTTTTATGTACAGTATAGTATGTGCATTGGCAAATTCATTTGGGGAAAACTGCATTGTGGAGCCAAATGCCACACAAGGTTCCACAACTGGACGGACACTGCCCAACGTTTTTCCCTCAAATACATACAGACTGGATTGAAATGTCCAAAAATAATCCCCTTGGGCAGGACAATTATCGGAATCTGTGCCAACATTCAATGTTTTCTTCCTGTGCCCATGCGAAGCCCCTCTACAAAGTTTCATGGCAACTTTGGTTTTTGTAGCCCTGTTCACTAACCCACCATCCAACACAATAAACCTGCTAAACGTCATCAGCTGTTAGCCTCGGCAGTGGCAGGGGATGAGGGGCGTTTGTGTGTTCATGTGTTCCCCCCTGCTTGTGCTGATGTCAGGACAAAAATCATGTCACATTGTTGCTGGATTGTAGTGGGCCCCACAAGTTATCACAAATGATGAGTGGGTTTTTCCCCTCCTCCAAAAAGGAATGAAGACTAAAGAGGGCAGTGACACGAACAGGGAAAATCCGTACAGTCCATCATGCAAACACACTTCATCTCTGCCATCAATAACTGCTTCAAATAAAGTGTATGCAGAAAAAGTGGCTCGGATTGCATGACTGTCCGTGTCTTTTGTGTTGTGTTGTATTCTTTTGTCATTTTATGTTCACTGTTCTGTTGATGGAGGCACGGGTACCCGCAGCGGCTCCTCTCTCTCCTGTGGTTGCGAGGAAAGAAATTTCATCTGTGCTGTATGTTGCACATAGGGCATATCTGACAAGAAAGTTGACTTGACTTAATATGTGCAAGTGAGATTGGTGCAGCCGAGTTTGATTCCACATAGTCTCTGCAAGCAGGAAGACCACAGGGTCACCGATCACTCATCTCATCTGTCTCATCCCGCTCGCTGTGTTATTCCAGCAGGACATGAATAGCACTGTTTAGTGTATTTTCAAAGGGGGGGGGGGGAGAGCATTGCATTTTACATTACCGAGGTGTATCATACTAGCGACAAATGTCAGTTCTCTGAACCAAACGGCAAATGTTATGAGACACAAAGAAAGGATTTCTAATCACGAGGGCTTTGCGCAGTCCAAAACGTGGTGACGTTTGGCGCTGAAGCACTTTCGTGGTGGGGAAGATGACGTGCAGGTGGAGTGGGCGGGTATCAATCCGGCTCTGTCTAAACACCGCGTGTTGGCGTCAGACTGAGCGGAGCCGAGGACGAAGGTTTTACAGGACTTCATTGCAGGATTCCCTTTGAAACGTCACCCACCATTTCCATTGGTTTCTTTTTTTGGTCTTTCTTACTCACTCTGCTGCCTCAGGTCAGAGGACAAAACATTCACCCCCCAAAAGTTGAAACAATTTGGAATTCGAAAGCAGTTTCCCAGCCGTCAATAACAGTCGGAAAAAAAGCCTGTTCCGATGTTGCGTCTGGCATAACAAAGTCTCATCCTTTCTCAAGCAATGAACGAAGGAAAAAAAAAAATGACCAAGTGATGGCTTATCGCTTGAAAAACTTCAAAGTAAAGGTAGTATCGGATGAATTACCTACATGATTATTTTTACACATGGACGTCAGTTAGCGATGGTAAAATGCGACTTCACATATTACGTGCAAAGCTAAGAAAGGTTTTCTGATTGTGACAGTTTGGCTCCAATTATTTGCCGTGTGAAAAACGGGGCTGGCGTCCCAGTCCGGATTGTTTTCGTCTTTCGAGGCTCGGCTATAAAACGCTGACAGTAGCCAAGAACCTTGAATTGGACCTTGAGTGATCCATCAATCAGCAGCAGCTCATCAGGAAGACGTTTGTTTGACGGGCAAGATACGCCATTCCGGGTTTATCCGAATGAAGACGAAGCGTGGGATTTTCCCCAACATTCCTTATTTTGTCGGCCCGTTCCGAGGCACCTTTGAGGAGGACGACGGAGAGTTTCAACGGGACGCGAAGCCTGCGTTGCAGCTTTTGAGGTGCTTCGCCAGTCGCCGGTCATTCCCGTTGCTATTTCGAGCTTGTTTTCCAGAAAACATGGCATTGGACTGCAACGCGCCAGCTGCATTTGCGATATTTTCAAAGTCAACTCCATACATGGCCGTGCATTGTGCTCGCTCCGAGATGGTTTGTCCTCCAATTCGATTCATGAATCATTTGGGAATATCTGGATTGTTTATCGGCATACGCTCCCCGCAAAGCATTATGACAAACAGGTTGACATGTGGCTATAACTTCCAGTAATATGGTGCGCGCTCCGCTCGGAATGAGTGTCCACACTCCCCCAAAGTGTTTGTCTTTCTCATGCTGCAACTATGATTAATTATTAATCTCCCGCATAAACGGGACAACTGCTATGTTGAGCCATGCCACGGATTAAACGCTGCAGGCGCAGGAACCTCAAGACGATCTGTTCCCGTGAACAAATCCCGAGTGTTTTATCCGGAGCACTTTTAAAAAGCTGTTGACTTGACAACGGTTTCTGTCGGCGAAAACAGTCTGAGCTATGAAAACGGGGGATGAGTATACAAAAGGAAAGTGTAGAATTCCACTGCCTAACACAAAACCAGGCAGGGCTGGGTCATTACTGCTCATGTGCCCGCCTCCCCCCACCCCTCCCCAACTCATTTTTACACTTAGTTGAGCAAGTTTAACCACAGCACACCATTTCGATGCGCTGTGACTGAAACCACTTTAGAATGAATGAATATTATAAATCGAGAGGAGCCAGATGAGGTGGCTCGGGCATCTGATTAGGATGCCTCCAGAACGCCTCCCTGGTGAGGTGTTCCGGGCACGTCCCACCGGCAGTGGGCCCCGGGGACGACCCAGGACACGCTGGTGAGACTATGTCACCCAGCTGGCCTGGGAACGCCTCGGGATCCCCCAGGAAGAGCGAGAAGAAGTGGCTGGGGAGAGGGAAGTCTGGGCTTCCCTGCTGCCCCGGATAAGCGGTAGAAGATGGAAGGAAGGATGGATGGATGGATGGATGGAGGTATTAAAAAAAACAGAACAGTCCAGTTGTGGCCTGGATGAATGGAAAATATTCCCAAGCAAGGTATTAAAAAGGACTTCATTTCCCAGAAAAAGCACTTTGAGAGCATCCTGCTATTGAATATTAGTCTGAGTCACGTTTGTCTTGCCGTCCAAGCTGCTTCGGGGCCTTGTGCTCTCTGCTGATAAGGACGAGGAAGTAGGGCTGAGCAATTAATCCACTATCGATTAATTCAAGTTTATTTGTCAGGACGTCTTTTTTTTTTTAGCATCTTCTCTGGTTCGATATGCATCCCTGCTGACGTGCTCTGCCCTACAGTTACACAACATGGCTACAAAGTGGACAAAATATCACGTCTCTATTGCCAACTGATTGCAGCTATTGGGTTGCTACATAAAGTGACTTTTCTTGACCGGTCATGCGAGCGTTTTAAAATTGAGCGAGCTTAATTCAAAAGGAAGAAACAGATTACCGGTACTTGAGCAGAATCATTTGAAAAGACTCAAAGACATGCTGCCCATCGAAACATTTCAAAAGCGTCGATATAGCGAAATGCTGGAAACCTCTAAGTATCGCACATCCACACCACAAATATTTTTGCCTTGCCTCACCTGTGCAACTGCGCTTGAGAAAAGAATGTGAGGGAGTTGCGATGATATTCGTACTCTTATCCATGGAACAGCCGAGTCATGCAGTTTGATGGTTCGTTCTATTATGATGAATTTAACATTGTAATGTCATAAGGAATATCCTTGACCGGTCATGCGAGCGTTTTAAAATTGAGCGAGCTTAATTCAAAAGGAAGAAACACATCACTTGAGCAGAAGCATTTGAAAAGAATCAAAGACATGGTGCCCATCGAAACATTTCAAAAGCGGCGATTTAGCGAAATGTTGGAAACCTCTAAGTATTGCACATCCACACCACAAATATTTTTGCCTTGCCTCACCTGTGCAACTGCGCTATTGACCGGTCATGCGAGCGTTTTAAAATTGACCGAGCTTAATTCAAAAGGAAGAAACAGATTACCGGTACTTGAGCAGAATCATTTGAAAAGACTCAAAGACATGCTGCCCATCGAAACATTTCAAAAGCGTCGATATAGCGAAATGCTGGAAACCTCTAAGTATCGCACATCCACACCACAAATATTTTTGCCTTGCCTCACCTGTGCAACTGCGCTTGAGAAAAGAATGTGAGGGAGTTGCGATGATATTTGTACTCTTATCCATGGACCAGCCGAGTCATTCAGTTTGATGGTTCATTCTATTTTGATGAATTTAACATTGTAATGTCATAAGGAATATCTTCACATACATGTTTTGAATAAAGGTGTAGTTTTAGGGAAAGCGGTTATTTTTCTTCCCATCTATAAAGACCTAAATGATGATAAAAATATCAAGAGATTTCTGTGGAAGTCAATGCAAGTTTTGGAATAAAAACTTCAAAGTAGCCTTTCTGCACTAAACCTAAAAATTTAATGCTAACTTTAACACACTTTCACCACGCTACCATAACGTTGCCACTGTTATGTACAGTATATATATATTTTTTCCAAGCGTCTGATGATACTCCTCCATAAATTCCAACCCTGGAAATAACTTTACTGATGCACAACAACCAGTAGATGACATCGATGTCTTATTTTAGACATGAGAACAGTTTGTGAGTCCATTCGGAGAAACAGCTGCACTTTGTGCAAACTAACTATTTTTCTACTGCTGATCATAAAAGAACAGATAGAGTCAGAATCAAACTTTTTTTTTTCCCCTGGCGAAAGGAGTGACCGGCAGGAAATGAGTTACAGGGAGAGTGAGTAAAAATGTGATTTTTTTTTTTCAATGTCGATTATTTCAAAGAAACACCATTAATTTCAATGCAGAAAAAAAATCACAACGTAATTTTTTTTAATTGTAATTGTCGGTGAAGTCATCGCTAATTATATTACATAGGGCGCAGGAGCCTACAGGAGGCTGCCATGTTTCTGCTACGGATACCCGAAGGAGACACACCATGCGAACGTAGTTCCTCAACATCATGACTACGGCATTCGTAAAAAGTCCAAGAAGTCGTTAGTGATGACATTTTGCTTGCACATATGCTGAAGAATTGGTGGTAGTGTGGTCTCTCCGAGGCACCGTAGTGTGCGTATGTGCTTCAAAATGCTTGCGCTTCGAGATAAGGCTGTTGCATTCTATTAGCTCACCACTAGATGGTGCAATATTACATACATACACAGTACCTTTAAGAAAAAAAAAATGTCGATGGTGGAGGTAACGTACAATCGTACAATCGCATCGATGTCTTCCTAACAAGCCTGCTGATTGTATGGTGTAAGATGATCATGTCTTTCTCCCAGTGTTTGTGTTGAAAGCAAACCACAGTTGTCAAGGAGGTTTGGCATGCTGGGCCAACACCACCAGCACTGATGGGATCCGAGTGGTGGTGGTGGTGGTGGTGCGGGTGGGTGGATGGGTATGGGGATAAGAGCCATCTTCCTGTTCAAACCAAGTACACAGAAGGGGACAGTGATTCCTCATTACATAACACCCAACGCGTGTGTTTGGAGAAAAAGACGCCTTGTTGAAATTCTATTTTAGGAAACTTCGGACAGAGGCGGCGTGAAACATCTCTAATCACCGCATCCCGGCACCCGATATACACAGGGCCGTTCACCTTTATTAAAAGGCTTCCTGCCATGTACGGTGCGCCAGGAAATGTGCATGAGTCACAGGTGTGTTTACAGTGTGAGTGGGTAGAGAATGTGCCGGTGTCGTCACAAGCTCCAGTCAAAAAGGCCCCGCTCATGACTTGATAGGACTCGACAACAAGCGGAGGAGGGGGGGGGCAGGTTCTGATCTGCCTGTGACAAACATACGGAACCCGCCTCAAGCAGCAGGAAATGGAAAGAAATGGAAAGATGCGTTTGCCATCCTCAGGAGGAGGACAGGAGTTATGGTGCGAGCCTTCAGCCCCGCAGGCGAGGATTTAAACATCTGCTCGGAAACGACGAGGGCAAGAAAAGAGCAACACAGCGGTCGTTTGTTAGCAAGGTGTCAATGGTGGAAAGGGAGAGCAAAGACAGAGCTCGTGCGGCTACGATGACACCATCATGTGAGGAGCCCGTTGAATGATCACTTCCTGGATCATCAGCAACTTCGGCTTTCATCAGAGAGAAGCAGTTTGACTCTTCATTTGGCTTAAGTCGATTACTTGCTATTGAATGTTTAAGTGATGAAACAATTGTTCTAAAGATAGTCCTGAAATAAAACTAATGGGTGGATCAAAACATACCTCCCTTGAATATTTTCTGCCATCTAAAATGACTATAAAATGGACATTTCACAGAAAGGTGTTGCTGTCTGTAACCCGATGACACGGTAAACTATCCACTGTCCCTGAAAGGGTTAATCTGGAGTGGATGAATTTCACTTCGCTACTCTCACCTTGCATACAGCTTTCTATCCTATGGATGAGCTGGTAAGACTTGCAGCGGTCCAGTAGAGTCCTGATAGCTGGCAGGGGGTCCAGGACAATGGTCTCGGGGTGGGCATCAATGTAGTCCTGAAGAACAAACACAGATTTCAGTCCCTACTTTGCATGTCTAAAATAATAAGGATGACTCACACTTTTATTGCCTGCTGCTTTTGTGATATTTCCGACTAAAATGTTTGTGGCTCACAATGAAAGTATTCAAAGGAATCTCGGTCTAAGGCACAGTCAGAGATGTCATCTAAACACCGGCATTCCATGAAAGGGTCAGCATGCCTCACTTGACAGAGAATGAGATGTATGCCAGCCGGTCTGTGTGGATTATATCACACCATCCCTGCATGGCCGACAGTTGGGCCGGTGCGGGGTTGCCTGTTTTACGTAACAGCGCTCCAACCCATCTCGCCTCGATGGATTTCTCCGCCAACCTTCGCCGCAATTTCTTCTCTGACACACAAACGCTGTCAGCCGGAGCTGGCTGGCTGACGTGTGCATTAAACAAACAGGCTGCCTCTTTGAATTTACAGCTCTTTGAAAAACGGCGCAGCAGCGGCGTCACACGCGCCCCTGCCTAAAAGTAAACATGCGCCGAACACACGCATGCAATGGAAATGTCTTTTTGTAGAGCTGAAGAATTCATCTTTCGGATTTAGCCAGATCGAAATGGGTGATACAGATGAAAGCCCATTATGCAAGTCAAACATGCTGCTGCCAAAAATAAAGCCATGCTAATCTTCCCGGAGTTTAGTGGAACACATTGATGATAAGGACAATCCACAGCTGATTTTCGCATCCCAGAGGAAGAAACGCATTCAGCGCAAGACGAGAGACGAGGTGTAAAAGACAAGTGGGTGTTAAACGCTTTGGCTTTTCATCTCCCGCTGCAGATCAGGTTTGGTCGAGGGATCAAATCTGTGGCTGAGGTCACTTAGATTGACCGCCTCGATCATCGGCTGTCAGTCACTGGAGTAAAACATGCTTGCAGCAGCCACCAGAGAAAAGCTAGCTCATGTTCACAATAGAAACACATCATCACTGATGAATGTTGTCTTCAGGGAAATATTCCAACAACAGGACTACGTGCTAATGTTTGCGAAGGTTAGCCTCTACTTCAAATGGAAAAATATGCCCAGCAGGCAAAAAAACGGATATTTTCACCAAAGTCTACATGTGTGATAATGAAAATACTCCAAGACAAAAGTCACTACTGGTTGAGATGAAAATATGATGGCATACAGAATACCTCTGAAGTGTAATGCCCTAAAAATCCTACAATTCGGAACTCAACAAAAAAAAAACATTTTCAAACATTCAAATTTGCAAGTGGAACAGCCATCATGTGTGATGACACAATTGCTTCATTTTCATTGCTTTCATTTTGACATCAACGATAGCTCGACCAGCTAAGCAAACACTTCTTTTCAATATGACCACAGGGTAAAATTTGGAGCAGTGACCTACGGTCCATGTGAGATATTTCTCCCTTTGGGAAGAAGGAAAAAAAAAGTCTTGAGGAGTGATCGGAAGCTGTCGTCACGTCAGCGCAAAGTTGATATGCTGTTCTTTGGTCGCAACAAAGTCATCGTGATTCCGTGCGCTGACAGGTGAGCAATACCTGCACTCGTTGCACCAGCAGCACCGCCTGAGAATCGTTCTGGTCCGCCTCCAGGATGAGGTCCGTCAGTTTGTGGATGATGACGTCCAGGGGACCCTGCTCTTCGAGAGGCTGGCTGAGGTCCAACTGTGGAGAAAATAGCAGATCTGGGTTTGGGTTCAAACAAGGGATAGACGTCTGACTAATGGTGGATTTACACTACATTGGTGGAAGTGATACAATTACGTTTTTTTTTTTTTTGGGGGGGGGGTTGCTTCCAAGCGCCCCAATTACAGAGAGCAATTGCAGCGCAAAAAGAGACAGAGGGGGAATGCGTGAAATTGAATATCTTCCCATCATAATCAGGCCTCTCCGAGACGTGGATAAAAATACAAAATGATCAGATAGCTGCCAACGTGACTGCAGCGTGAACAGACAGATGGACCCTCTTATGTGAGCCTGAAGTAATTGAAATATGTCCGTCTGTGACAAACACACACACACACACACACACACACACACACACACACACACACACACACACACACACACACACACACACACTGCACAAACATATGTCCATTTTTTGCCATGTTTAATTTTTCCAATGTTAATGGGATGTCCGAAATGCGAACATTAATCATTAATATATATATATTTTTAACCCTTTCAGGGACAGCGGTTACTACAGCGGACAGCTTATCATATTACAGTGTTACAGGGTGCATGAAAGGGTTAATGAGAAAAACGGACACACGTGTTTTTCACGGGACAGCGACGATATGCAATCTACAAGCGATATAATGAGTGTGGCAACTTGTCCAATCATTATTTATGCATGTGGCCCTTAAACGTTCAACATTTTTTTTTCTATTCCATTATTTTCTTTGCCGTGAAGTGATGTCTTCAATTTTAAAAGCAGAGATGCGGTCTTGAAATCTCAAAACTTATCACAATCTTGACAGAAACTGGAGACAAATCTTTTCCTTCGTTTTGTCTTTCCCACAAAGTTTGAAAATCGAGACATTTTTTAATGGGATCGAATAATTTCTTTTGGAATGTTCTGAACTCCCTCTTCGATGCCAATTTCCTGTTGATTTTTATAATCAAGCCTTCAGGTGTGGCCATAGTGTGATATGTATGGGACTTTGCTGACAATTTTGGTTTAAAATGTAAACTGAATTTCGCCTGTATGCGTATACATTTTAATATATTCACAAAAGATGCAAGGCATCATCATTTAGAGCTGCGTCCATAGAGCGTCAAATTATGTGCGTGCGTTTTTGTAACTACCAGAGTTCAAGTTGTATTTGCTTTGGCACGATTTAGTCTTGATGTCATCACGCAATCTATCTTTCACGACCAGTGAGGAGAGCCAGGCATTCATTACATGCACGGCATAGTCAACAGATATCAAATTCGCCTTTGTTTAAAATGTATTCCGGTCATTGTTTGTACTTGCCAAGTGGTTCGCAAGTAGAAAATCCAGTTCTAAGAGTGACATAAGAGCTTAGTGGGACTGCACGCACACAGCCACACACCTAAACATCAACTTTACCAGTGAGTGATAGATTTTAGCTGACAAGCACTTCGCTGAGGAAAAGTTCAGTTCACAGAGGACCAAGTCAGTTGGTCGTGACAAAAGAGCACTAAAAGAAAAAGAGCATTTTGTCTGTTTGTGTATGAGACCACTTATAAATATTTAAAATACAATCATGTTTAAAGGTTTTGGGGATGTGCTTTTTTTTTTTCTCTTTTTCAAGCAGCTCTCTCTGAGTTGGGGAGTTGAAGATAGAGTAGTCACACAGAGGGATTAAGTAGCCTTCATTGTGTAAGGACGAGTAAAAAGTGTACTTTTTGATGAGCATGTCCTTAAACCTCAACCCAGACCTTGGCCATGTGTTAAATAACAGCACAAAGACAAAACATCTGACTGACTGACTGATAAAATGTACTCGACTTAGGTCACAGTTGCGACATATTTAAAAGCCCATTACAATTCCTTCAATGGCTTAAATCCTAATCCGAGCAAATTCATGTTAGCATAACGCGGACAGCGGAGTAAATCGATTTCCAAATAACGAAGACCGGGTCTTGCATGCAAATGAAAATAAAATATTGAAACACCTGTGCAAATGGACCTACAAAGGTCAGACTGCAGAATCCGCAGTATGCAAACCTGCCTCGTATATACCTTCGTCACACTGAGGGCGATCAATGTGAGATTGTAAAACGGTACGCGGTTTCGGTTAGTCAAGGGCGCGCCGCATTCGGAGGAACACAATGTTAATGATTATGAGAGGTGATAGATTACTCATTATGGCAACATTGTTCCTTCAGCAAGGTGTAAATCTGTAAAACATCCTTTGATTATTTTTATTTCTTTACTCAACCACCTCACAGAGAAGGTACAATCCAACAGTAGCTCCAGCTATACTTAAACTTGATAAGACCATTTCTGAGTGGCTATATTACAATCTGCTATGAGTAAATGCCATTTCAAACGGCATCCCCCGCGACGATGTTTGGGAAAGAGGCAAAAATAACACCGAGCTAGGTCAGGTGAGTAGAGAAGGTGTTCCACGATGGCGATGCTCTTCTTGGCCAGAAACGGTCAAATTCCTAGCCGATTGTGAGGAAGCGCTTCATCATGGTGAAGCAGTCGCAAGATGTCCTGCCACAACTTTTCTCACGTACTGAGCAGAGCGAACGCGACAGGATCTGGTTGATCATCTGGTGAACATTGAAGGGGAAAACTTGGGAGTTTATGGTCTGGCTGGGAAATATATATTTTGTGACAATAGTCCTGGAACCTTTCTGACACACCTCGCACATTAGTCAGAATAAAACATACAGCATAGTCTCCGGTATTTACTTCTCAAAATGTGTTTGTAGGCCATGGTAAGGGTACTAATTTCATTCAAGAGGAGACAGAGCAAGAAAATGGGGAGACTATATGGAGCATCATACTGCAGCCATGTGTAGAGCTGAGGCATAGCAACAGGGTAAGCTAGCATTAGCATGTGCGTTTATTTCCGTCATACATCCTGAAATGACGACACGGCAAGACTGAATTTGCTTGACCAGTGAGGGACTAGCTGTGGCTAATGTCACCAAAATTGAAGCAGTACAATCTTTTGGCAATAGAAATAGGGTGAAAGCTGTTTTGAGTTAGGTTGGTCTCGTGCGGAGGAAAAGCGAGAAACAAGAGTCCAAAATAGCTTGCTTGTTCTTTTTTGTAAAAGGTTGCCGGTAATCAAATGCAGGGACAATAACATTCCCACAAATTGGCACAAAAAAATTCGAGAAAATAAACCTGGTGCTTTCGCAATGATGAATCACAACATTTCTGGATTGACTACAATAGTTTATGGTCGCTGGGATTGGTTTCACAACTCCACTAAATCTGTCAAAAGCAGAGTAGAGATTCTGACGTGACTCTATGCTGGTGACACGGTACAAAACAACATCCTACTCACATCCTTATGCTTTGCCATGTCCGTATAAATTAGAATAATATTAAAGGATCATTGCTGATGCAAAGAAAGTACACTAGATATGTTAACAAAAACAGTTTAAGTTTCAGGTAAAAAAATATATATTGTGAGATAAAATCAGATGGTAATTCACAAACCGTGAGTACAATAAAAACAAGACAACAAGAATCCTGTCAAAAATGTATACAATAAAATGTTAGTCCTCAAAATGTTCGTGGATATTTTAGTGAGCAGATAAGCTGCCGTGGTGGAGGCACATGGCAGATGTATGAGACACGTAGGCTGGGTGGCATGACTTGAATCGACCCATGACGGTTAAGTCAACACTCATAAAAGGTATGTTGTCACCTGTGGCTAAACCGGGAATAAAACTCAACTCAACTCAACTCAAATGTATTTATAGAGCACTTTCAAACAGCCATCGCTGCACACAAAGTGTTCATAAAACATGAACTGCTGAGACAATGGTCTCATGAGCAAAGGATATAGCATTAGCATATCGGTTTCTGTCATCGTGTTTGTGTTGCTATAAAGTCAAATAGAGGTGAAGTTCTCAAAAAATGAAAAAAAAATAAATAAAAATGCTCGACACCAAACAGCATCGACCTGCCAAAGACGGAGAAAATGAAAGCCACCCTGTGCAGAGACAGAATGAGCCCGCTTTCGAGCGGCCACCAAAAACCCAGCGGTAAAGTCATTGATGTGCTTCTAAAAGCTAAAAGCAGAAATGTCAACTGACGTCTCTGGCGACCCCTCTGGGGGCCGGGGGCTAGAAGAGAGCTATGGCGGTGATGGACAGCACAGAAAACACGCTGGATCCTGAGGGGAGAGGCTAAGGTCAAGGCCAATATATTTCCAGCTTTGATGAAGCTCTGTACCGGGGCCAGGCTACACTCATGGGAAATAAAAGATTTTACACAAACACTGGGAACAGAGGTCATAGGAGGAAAGTTTTCAACGGAACCTTACTGACCATAAAACACAACAATGTAAAACGTTGGCTGCACGATGCCGATGGGAAAAAAGAACAGATTTATCGTTTCTTTTTTTTTTTTTTGCTGTTGACTTAAAAACTAAAAAACCAAAGCCAATGGCAATAAAGACAACCCATGCGATGAAGCATTCTTCTAATGCAGTGGTTCTTAACCTGGGTTCGATCGAACCCCAGGGGTTCGGTGAATCGGTCTCAGGGGTTCGACGGACCTTCTGCCATGGAGGTTAAGACACACCCGACTCAATATGTTAATTAGTTATGACACGCCTGCTTGGCCATCACTGGCTGCAGATGATCACATTACAATTGGTGCTGCGGAAAATTTAGTTCGCTCAGTAGTCAATGTGTGACTGTCATGATAGTACGTTGTGCGATTTTTTTTTTTTTTAGAATGTTTTAATACACGCTAAAATAAACCCAAAGTGGCTGTACGAATATTGAAGAAATAGAGATAATTCATAGAGATAGTCTGTCTCGGAAGTTTTGGCTACTACTAGGATGAGCAACCTAGTGGTTGGTAATAGTTAAGAAGAACGTGTCTGACATCATCGTTGCAACACGGATCTCTGATCACCTCATGGACTAAAAGCATGCAAATACCTAATAAAGATAAGCACGGTTGTCAGCCAACCAAACGATCAATATGTCGTTGAAATACGAAGAGCCAGAAATTACCTTCACATTTCTAAACACTCGCCATATGATAAAAAAACAGTAACTCAGTAACTTTCTTTTGACAGCCCAGTCAAACAAAATTGATTTACTGCAACTGGCTCTCTTTTAGAGAGTCAATATCGGCTTTGTGAAGCACACCGCGCTAATCTCATCAGCCCTGCGATACAGACAGGCTAATATACAGATTCCTGCAAGGATGGGCCTTGTGAGCTCGAGGCACTATTGATGAGTTGATGTTTGAAAAAAAATAATAAATCGCATGGAGAGGAGTGAGCAATGAGGAAGCGTAATAATACAATAGTAGATGAGGGGGGAAAAAGCAGCAGCGAGTTGCCTGAAGAAACAATTTTGCAAAAGTACAAGTAAAACAAAAGAAGCCTCTTTTTTCAGGGGTGACATCCTGGTAGTGACAAAGCAAAGGGTTTTCATACATAGAAACTAGAAAATCATGTCAAGGGTTATTTAAAAAAACAAAACAAAAAAAACTGTCCTTTTTCCCAATGCAATGTCATGGCCAAATATCTGCCAAGGTTCCAGTTTTACACCACATATACCACATATGGCATGCACATTTGGCGAGTTTTTTGTTTTTGTTGTTTTTTTTTTTACATCAAAGGCGAGCCAACTTACTAAATTGTCTCATATGGGATGCTAAGACCAGCGAGGGCAAAAAGTTGAGACAGAAAGCCTACCAAACATGTCATCATGATGATGGCGAAAGGGCCCAAGTCGAATGCCGGCAGATGGACCACAAAATGTTTGAGCAAAAATTTTCTGGGAAGTTCACCGCAAATTCAAAACTCTGTTGTATGGCTTCATTTGACACCTGCGCCACAGAAAGTAAATTTAACTCCCTGTGAGGTAGGGAAAGTGGTCAACATATCTGTCCTGGCTACTCAGTTACAATATGGCTTTGTCGGTAATGATGCAAAAAAAAAAAAAAAAATTTTTTAAAAAAGTCAAAAAGGACTTGCTGTACAATGAAAGGTGAGCGGCCTTAAGTGTTTATGTGACATGACCTCCCCCCAAGTGGAAGCATCATTCTCACTCATCACAGCTGCACAATAATTATTTGAACTCCCGGTAATTTATACTTTTGTAGCACTCAATAATGTGAAAACATTAACAAGACATGTACAGTTAAAAGATTTATGATGATGACAGACCATGGAACAGATTCATTCGGTTTCAGGTTTGTTTTTCCTATGAAAAAGAATGCATCTTGAATTTGAACAAATTGGGGCAACTGTCCCTTTTTTGTTTGGATTAGATTGAAATTGCTTTGTTTTTGTTTTTCTTTATTGTTTGTTTCTACATCAATAAGAGTTCATGGACTATGTTTTAATATTTCTTATGAAGGGGTTGCGCTGTATACACGTCGCCACTGTAAAAAAAACAGCATGCGGGATGCAAAGAGGGTGTGGCTGGCATGCATTTATTACTTGTGCACAATAATCCACATCTTGTCAACTTTTGCCACTAACAAATGATTTGAGCCACGTACAGTGCACCAAAATGTTTTCTTTTTTATTATTATTATTATTATTATTTTTTTATCCATCTATTTTCAACACCGCTTGTCCCTACCAGGGCCGTGTGTGAGCTGGAGCTCATCGCACTTGACCCCTGATCTAGTCGGCAGCCAATGGCAGTATTATGTTTTTCTCGCCAGAAATACAACAAATTCATCCAATATACAAGGTTGACGTGTTATCACTGGGATTAGTCAGTCTGACTCCCGGGGGCAAGGTTGCGTAAATAAAGGATTATTTATTCTTCTCTAGGGACATTTATGATCATCTCTAAATTCACAGTAGTGCATGGACCCAGAAAAAGGGGAAAGTACTTTTCCCTAACCAGTGAGGAAGAAAATGCAGCATTGATTAGAAAAAGAAGAAGGAAAAAAAAACAATTGATGGATTGTAGAGTAATTCACCAGGGAAATGGGAGAATACAGCTTTGTACACAGACTTGTGTAACAGGGCTGAGGCATTACAATGGCCGTCATTATCTTCTCTCGTGATGTAGCCATGACAGTGCGGGGGGCTGACTGGAATTGGGTGCGGGATGGGATCGTGCAAACACTGGCGTCAATGGGTATCGGTGTAAGATCAGCTCTTTTAATTGGCATTGACAGTGCCGCTTCACGTACTGTATTACATTCACGCTTTTTTTGCAGGAGGGATCAAACTCGCTGGGAGATGAACGCAGTGAAGTGTGGAGGGCTGTTGAAGTCTCCGGCTCTGCGAGCCGCTGTGACTGTCTGAATAGCTGAAAGCACAGTGGGAGGCAAGGCATGCTTACATTGGGATTATTCCCATGACCGGCTTCTAACTGGGTGTTCTGCAATCGGCGGTGGAGCACAAGGGGGGGAAAAAAAAATCGTAAAGTGTGTGTGGTGGGGGGTAGGTGGGGGGTGCCACACCAGGAGAATTTGCCTGAGAGAAAAGCTTGGATCAATTCCTCTTCCATCTTACTGACAAGCACTTTTCAGCAATGAGCTCCCAGGATTTTGTATTGAATAGTTACTATCCTATTCAATGCGCCGTGTGTACTTGCACAGGGAAACGTTTTGTTCACTTGCATTTATTGCTGCGTTGTATACTGCCCTGCGGACACTATTTGCTAACCCCAAAGTCGTCAGGAAGAGAATTTATGTCATTTGATAAACAGTATCTAGAAAACTGTCGACCAGATTAAATATGGTTAAACAGTGTATGCATTGGTTTTTGTTTTTTTCTATTAGACATTTAAAACTTCTTGTCTGTGCAACTCTCTTGTAAATGTGAAAAATGCGGGTTCCGGTAAATCTTACGGGTATGCACAAACCGTATATATCCACTCCTATCTTCGGTCGTGAATTGCTTAGCAAAACTGTTTGCAGTGCAAGTGAATAAATGTGCTCATGACAAAAAAAACATCAAAAGAACGAGGAGAGAAACCTGAATAGCAACTGTTTGGTTACTGCAAAAGAGAACATTTCCTAGAAGAGCAAAGCAGGCATGCTTTAATGGTGTATAACGGAGTTTAATCGGTAAACACAACAACAATTAAGCCTCAACTAAAATTTTGGCATTCGGGATCGACATCAGCATACGCAAGAACAACAGGTACAGCACTTTGTATACAGCGATGGTTGTTTTAAAGTGCTCTCTAAATACAGTTGAGTTGAGTTGAGAATTTGACTATGACTGTAGGTTCGTGCTTACAAATCATTTTTTACATGAACAGCCCGAGGTGTTGAAAATCAAAGTTCAACAATTTCGGGAGGATAATGAGAACAAGCAGTGAAGAAGAAAAAAACCCATCCGTCATCTTGGGACTAGGGAGGAACTCCTATCAGTGTAAAGGAGAAATAAACCCGGCGATGCAAACTACGATTTGGGACAGAGCGGAAACATTTTGCAGACTAAGTCTGCGGTACAAGGAGCAAAAGCAAAATATATGACCTTACCTGAATAACCTCTATCCCTCTTTTCCTGAAAAATAAAAGAGACCAAGTATTAGTGAACAAAAGCAACGGTCAATAACACATAACTAGTCATAGGCATGATGATGATGTTGACCAAGTGGAATTTGGTCGATACGTTAGTACCAATGTTGGCCCTAAATGACAAAAGTACAATTAGTAATCCATTCGAACTTGGTAAATGAACATTGACTGCAGATTTGGACTATGAGTCCCATCTAGACAGACTCAGTGTGGTCGGCAGAAGCTCCAAAAATAAGTCCAAAATTAGTGATGGTATTACCACATGCCCCGGTTTAAATGAGGAGACGGTTAAAAAAAAAAAAAAAAATAGTGTTGAAATTTGAACACTGCCCAACACTAATTAGTATAGCTATCTACACAGTTTATGATGCAGAGATACATGGCAGGATGTTAAAAAGTGAAAACTACATTACAGATAATCAATACACATAGAGAGAGCGAGAGCAAAGTAGGACCATTGCAAATGTAAAGCTAAACCCCCACCACGCTCCTTAGAGACTGAGATTTTCTTATCAGACATACTTTAAATTAAAAATCAGTTGCTCGGCAACCAGCTGACTCCTCGTAAGAGAAGAATTCTCATAACAACATTTCATTCCATTCGACTGGTCACATCAACGCTGTGTATAAATTAGGAGTTCGAAGCACCAAGATCTCTGAGCTCTATTACAGCCATAATAGAAAAGGGGCAACAGCAGAGAACATTTGGCTGGAAACAGACAGATAACAAAATAAACAAACAAAAACTGCACCGCAATTTGCCCTGTGGCCCAAAAAAAAAAAAAGTTGAGCACGCGGCCTTGTCCATCCTAGTTGTTTTTGAGCTTACATCCCCATGACAACAGCAGCTCGGCTATTCAGCGCTTCACAACAATGTAGACATTTAATACTGCAGCTGCTGGCTCATTTCATGCACTGTGAATGCGGTCGTCAGTGGCGTCATCCCGCCTTAAATATGGAGGTGGTCTTAGAAGGTGAGCACTGTCAACAGAGTCAAGCAGGCAGGCGTCACGAAATGTGACGAAGCACCCGTGGCACATAAGATTTGATTGTCAAAGCCGCTGTCATAGGGTTGTTCACTCTTCTGTTTGGCTTTTATGGGACAACTCGATGAGCCTGCTGCCTGACAGTACATGTAGACGGGTTACAAAGTTTAGTGGGTGCGTCAGTGCCCTGAAGTAACCCGTTAACACAGAGAAGTGATCACAAAAATGTTTTGTTACTGTAATTCCACACGTGGGCGGCACGGTGGATGACTGGTTACCATGTCGGTCTCACAGTGCAGAGATGCAGGGTTCGATTCTGTGTGGCGTTTGCATGTTCTCCTCCCCGTGTCTGTGTGGGTTTTCTGCGGGTACTCCGGTTTCCTCCCACATTCCAAAATCATGCGTGGTAGGTAAATTGAACACTCTAAATCAGAGACATCAAACACGTGGCCTGCGGGCCAAATGCATGCAGGACGCTAGTTTGAGGTTCCCGCCTAGATATAAAAGTTGAATGTTAGTGCGGCCCGCGCGAGTTTGATATGGATGCTGTATGTATTACTACTACCAACATGGTAAATAGTTAGGTCTGTCTCATTCGAAGGCCGACAGCTTCGGACCACCCGGACTTTAGCGGTAACATGCCCCGCACCAGCTTGAATACACGTGTAAACCACGGATGTAACCAACCCGCCACTGCTGCTGAATACACATTGAGACAGACAAACAACACGCCCGTGTGACTGTCACCAGAGCTGGGTGCTCCAAAGCACCAGACCTAACGTTACGCACGCACAAGAATGGCGAAAATGAGTGCTAAGACGCTAACACGGAGCTAGCACTATTTCATACACACAAGCGAAGTTTGATGTGTATGTGTCCGTGTTAGCGTTAGCTCCATGCTAGCCACTAGCCGAACCTTTCAAACTGTTAAATTATTTCTTTATTTTATTTTATAGGAAATGGCCACCACAAACACTTTGTGTTTCCATGCTTTCTGACCTACCTACGCTGTGCTCGATGTCATATGCAGGCGCAGGACCCTAAGCCAATCTAGTACCAGCGGAAATTACTTTCTTTGATTTGTTTATTTATTTATCTTTTATTTATTTATCATCTTATTTTGTGTAGAAAAATAAAAGTATAAAACAAATAAAAATTAAAGATATTTGAGATCAGTGGAATGTTTTATCGGAGCTTTTCTTGTGGAAAATCGGAACCAAAGAGCTGAAAAAGTGTAGGGTAGGCCTCACCTCGACTCTCGCTCCAGCGGCCCCCATGTAAATTGAGTTTGAGACCCCTCTTCTAAATTGTCCCTAGGTGTGAGTGTGAGCGCGGATGGTGCATCTCTGTGTGCCCTGCGATTGGCTGGTAACCAGTTCAGGGTGTATCCCGCCTACTGCCCGAAGGCAGCTGGGATAGGCTGCAGCACGCAGGCGACCCTTGTGAGGATAAACGGATCAGAAAATGGATGGATGGATAATTCCACACTTAATGCGTCTGATCTGTTCCTTTCAGCCACCGAAATATGATTTAGTGACCTGACAATTCATCAGAAAATATTCCCTTACAGGTAGCCAGAACTTCTGAGTTGGGATGTGAATCAATCATGATGCCATGTAATGAGCGATGACTACATTTTCGATATGCATTTTACTTTTTCTTTGGCTTTGTGTGTTTTTCCCCAACACCTTTTCTAAAACAAATAGTTAAGGTTGGATTCATCTTTATACTACAATATGTATATTGCGATGTCTCGATTTATGGGTTTGAATTGGAATGAACGGAAATGCCGTTTAACTCTTCCAGCGCTCCCCCCGCATTTTTTTTTTACACTCTACATCAGGGGTCCCCAACCTTTTTTGCCCCACGGACCGGTTTAAGTACTTGAATAGAATGTAAATTACCGGTAATTCGTTTGTGCATTGCGATAATTCAGTGGTTTAGGCACTTTGGTCACAAGGAAGCCGTACAATACATCCAGACATATTATCCATAGATTTGATGATGAAACAGAAGAAGACCAATTCAACTGAACTGCAATTGTTTTTCGTAGAGGGTACAAAATACAGGATACACCTGTGAGAATTGTATGCTCTGCCTGCATGTGTTGCTGCTTGCCGTGTTCATTACTTTGGAATGTTCTTGTGATGTGTCAACTATTCAAAAGAGCGCCACATGAAATAATGAGTGTATGTATCCCATCAGAGAGCATTATTTTATTTTTAATTTTTTGAAAATATGACGCCCTATAACACGTCATCAGGTTAAGACTTTCCACAGTTTTTTTTTTTTTTTTTTTTTTTTTTTTTACATAAAAACACAAAGGTACCAAAACAGTAATTTTGTACACTAAAAAAGTACTTAGATATTACGGACAACACGCTGCA